ATAGATAGATAGATAGATAGATAGATAGATAGATAGATAGATAGATAGATAGATAGATAGAGTAGCCTATAGGCCATATCAACGTACAGGTTCAAATACATATTACCAATAAAATTCTAAACAAACAAAATGAGAGTAGGATAAAATACAATCGTTATATTTATAATAGTTGCAGTGTCCTGGGGACATATTAATCTTCTCATCACTCCTCATCACCCATCCCCTCCCACTTGTGACTGTATGATTGCAACTTTGTCACTTGTATCCTTATGATTTATATTGACTTTTCCTACTATGATTTGATTGCTTATTGTGCCCTATGATTATCATTAAGTGTTGTACTTATGATTCTTGACGAATGTATCTTTTCTTTTATGTACACTGAGAGCATTTGCACCAAGACAAATTCCTTGTGTGTCCAATCACAATTGGCCAATAAAGAATTCTATTCTATTCTATATGATCACCTTTTGTGAACTTCAGATAAGGAAAGTCATTGGGGAAGCCAGAGTCCTTTAAGAACCAATGAGAACACACATTGGTTGGGGGTTTGGCTGTGTTCTGATTGGTTGGGGGGTTGGCTGTGTTCTGATTGGCTGGGGGTGTGTTCTGTTCAGGTGGGGGCTTGGTTGTGCTCAGGTTAGTCTTAGTTGCTGGGGGATTTGAGCTGGTGAGCTGTGATCCTGCTGTTTGGCTTCGCGTTCGTGGTCGTGCCACATCTTCATGGTGGGTGTCAGTTCGCTTCATGTATGGGTCGGAAGGATGAGGCAAGCTCACATTACTCTGAGAAGCACAAAGCTGAAGACACAAGCCTGAAGATGATGAATGAGACTTCATCGAAACGTCGCCTAGATACTTCCAATTTTACGCGGGAGAAAACCTGAATAACCAAAGATCCATATACATACATATACATACATATACATACATACATACATACATACATATATATATTTCAGAATAATTTGCTATTAAATTTTCAAAATACTTTTGTATTCTATGCAACAATTCCCAGATGTATAAATATCTATCAGAATGCTGTTTTTTAAAAAAGAAATGTTACAGCAATTTATATTTTATGAAGTTTGAAGTGTGCAAAATTAAAAACAAAAATAAGCCATGATGCCACATCCAAAAAGGCTGCCAGAGTAATCCTGCCTATCAGTCCCAATAGGTTTTTCCCCATTCTTCTCACAAGCTGGTCTAAATTTCTGCCGAAGTTTAAGGAACTTTTATCAAAGGCATGAATTTATCAAATATATGACTACTAGGATAATATTCTAGAGATTATTCATTGCAGCCTAAATATCTCAATTTATTTTTTCCCCTTTTTGCTTTAGTTAAGTGGGGGGATTTAAATGTTGACACTAAAGCTTTATTATTACACATGAAGGCATCTGCAGAGTCTTTAAATAATGAGTTGAATTGGGAATCCCCCTGAATCCAGGCTTTTTCTTAAATGTTCAGCCATCAATTTCGGCCAAGAGTGTTGTTGCCCAGCTGTGATGCATCTGCTTCTGCTGTGGTCAGACTTCAGCATTAACACACTGGTCTTAATTAGTAGGGATGTGCAAACCATTTGGAAGTATGATTCTCACTGCATGCCTACTTTAAGCTCCTGCTCTTAGTGCTCAGAAAATAGTTTTACTGTAAACATTTCCAAAGCTGGAAGTTGCTAGACTTCAATTGTAATTCTAGCACAAGTGTCTTCAGTGAAGAAGAGTTTGAAAGGCCTTGCACTGAACTTTTCACAGATGCAGCTTTATGAAAGCTTCACATATTGGTGAAAAAACTAATACTGGTTCTCATTTTTCAAATACAAAAAGCCATTCTTCTTTCCTAACAGTTTATAATCTGATTATTGAAAATAACATTTGTTATTACACAAGGTTATCTGGATTATAAAATATATAACTGGGGTCTCTTTAAGGATGGTTCTCTATAAGTGTATATGGGAGAAAATCTCCTCCTGCGTTATTACAAAAATTGAGATCCCACTTTCTTTCCCATTTTCTCCAATTTAAGGAATTAAGACACATTTCATCAGTGAACTCTTTTGAATTTTTTTAAACTAATAAAAGTCCAAGATCATTTTGTCTTTTTGAACTGTTCAAGGTTTATTTTGCTTTGAGTATAATGCTATATTGCATGTTTAAATATTTTAAGTGTTATTTTTATTCTGTTTAACATTTTTACATTGTTGTTAACTAGCTTGATCCAATTAACTTAACCCTATTAGGATGCAAGACAAAATATAAACATAAATATAAATCAGATGTGTAATGTTAAATTAGGTTTCAACAGCGAGAATGTTAGGAAACTGTAGAATATTAGTTTTAATAATAAACTTGAAGCAGCTTTTGATTTTTTTTAGTTTAGTGGCCCTTGCTACTTGAAAATTTAATAATATTATAGTGAAAACCTGATGCAAAAAATTGCCACTAAAACATTTGTGCCACTTTAGAGTTGTTACTTGAATTTAGAAAAGAATATTTCAAAATACTTATTATTTAATAAAATCTGTTACAAGTAAAACTTCTAGAAACCTGTTTACATTTATATAATTGTGCACTGGAAGAGTCTGTGAGCAAATTAGTGTTAGGGATACATCTATATTTTTAAGTAGAAAAATGTTAAATTAGAAAGTATTAGCAACCAAGCTGAATATTGTAACTAAGCCTGGACAAATATAAAAGCTTTTAAACTTTATACTGTAAACTCCTTGAGACGCTATGCATTTAAGTTTTTAAAATTGCCACCTAAAATGATGGTGCTTTAGAAGTAATAATATACAAATGTCCTCAAATGAGTTATAAAGCATAATCATGGTTTCTGAAATGCCAGAATTGTAGCAAATAAAGAGTTAACATTTATTGTGGAAAAGAAAGAGGTAACAAATAAGGTATCTTAATTAGAAGTATTGTGATAGAAAAACATTTTTCTTCTTAAGTGGCATTCCCCAGAACTCTGCAACGTTTTGTGGCAAACTGAGAGATATCTGGTGTATAGTGGGTAGCCTGTAGGTTTTCCGCAGGGGTTACTACAGAGAATTGACAGAGGGTAGCTTGGCAAATGTTCAGAAACTCACATTAACTTGGTTAAGCTCCACATGGGACCTTATATTCAGTGGAATTCTTCTGACCTGCCTCTCTGCATGCCAAGCTAATCAGCAAACACCTAATGAGCCTGCTGTAAAGAAGCAGACCCTTTCTTAAGTTCATTTTTATACATTCTCAGAGGGGGAGGGGGAGAAAAGACTTCAGGAGGACTGATGATGCTGCAAAGACCACAATAATGATAATTAACTTGCTGAATTTAGAAGATTATGCTGTTAATTAGTTGCAAAATAAAGATAAGTAATAGAGTAGCAGATGGTAAGATAACACCCAGGAGAAGGAAGGTTATTACTCTGATGAGGCTTTGTGGCAGATATGAAATATGGAACTGACTTTTTCATAAATTGTTTTCACAATAATACTGTTTCTGTGAACTCATGATGGAGTGATCTAGTGCAACAAATTCAGGAAGATGTAATAGGGATTAATTTTCAATGATAGAGGCATTTTTTTGCAAACACCTTTATTGTTTACTATTAAATAGCAGTTACTATTTCAGATGTACTGCGAATGTATTTTATTTGTTTGTGCAGTTGGTAATTTTCTATAGCCGCCCATCCCAACCAGTGACACTGGGCGATGTACATCATAAACACATAATAAAACAATAGAGAATAAATATATATATGGTTGCCAAATAAAATTATTACTATTGAGGTTAAGATAGCCAAGAAGCGGGATCTTTAACACATTTGCGGTCCAAACCTTAGTAGATCTTCACAGCTTTACAAAAGGCTAGTAGAGTTGGGGTCATCCTGATTTCTGAAGATAGAATGTTCCAGAGGGCAGGGGCTAAGGCAGAGACAGCATGTCTCCTAATCTCCACCAGTCAACCTTCCTTGGCTGATAGGACCCATAAATGTCCTATTAGCTATACTGAGTTAGATGGGTAGAAACAGCTAGAAGAAGATAGTCCCAAAGGTAATTTGGTTGTGAAGGGCTTTAAAAGTGACAACCAGCACCTTGAATTGTATCCGGAAATACTCTAGCCACCAATACAGCTCACATAGTATTGATATTACGTGTCAAACATCTGACAAGGCCAGTTTTCACTTTGATGCTTTCAAATATTTTCCAAAGGCACTCCCCCTATATAGAGCACATTACAGGAATCCAGTCAAAAGGTCACAAGGTCATGAGTGAATTTGCAACATCTCCCAGTTTAGGAATGTGTTCAGCGGGCATTGTCATGCCCCTGTTGCAGACTGACTCTAAGGGAGAGGAGGAACAGTCCACAGGGAGTGGAAGTGTGGCTCCGGAGGTTGTGGAGGAGGCTGGGGAAGGGCAGAGGCCGGCTGAGCAGTCAGAGGAGGATCCAGGCCCATCCCCTCTCCATCCTAGAGCATGCAGGGTGGAGAGGATAAGGGAGAGATGTGGTCTCTTCAGGAAGAGAGGGCCTTGATCCTCTTCATGGGCTGCAGGTGTGACAACTGAATAAGAGTTTGGACCTACGTACTGGCAAACGCTGGAAACAAAGCGTATAAATATCTCTAGTTTATAGTTCCTCTCTGAGTTTGGCGTCCTTCCCAGTGTGTGTTATCTGTGGACATCCTCTAGCCCTTATCTTGCCTGGTTTGTGTTGCTTTTTTCCTTCTTTGTGTAACTCTTTGTGTGCGAGTTCTTTTTGTCTTCCGTCAAAGATATTTGGAACTTGGAAGCAAAGTGAAGGAATAAAAGGGGCTTCACCTGTTTTCTGTGACTGTGTTTGTTTTGTATCCCACCCTGGGTCATCACAGGCACACAACCCAGAGGTGTGTGCAAAAACCGTCCTAGCCACAGCTGCTACTTGCTCTTCTAGCAGAAGCTATAAGTCCATTTTGAGTGAATATCTTGTACTTTAGCATGTTTGATTTTGCTCTGCCAATATATTACTATATCTCTAGTGCAGTGTAATGATGGAAACCTCTGTTAAGTTTAATAAATTTAGTAAGAGGTCTCGAGTAAGCCTGTTGCGCTGTAACATAATTTGTAATATGATTATGGGTACGTGTATATTGTCTTAAGGTTAATATACCAATGGCAGAATGGTTGGTAGGCTGTTTATGGATTGTATGCAGTGCTGAGTGAAAAGAATTCTGCTTGTATGCGAGGGCTTTTTCATCAAAGTCTCTGATCTTAGAAAAGCCTGTTTGGGGAATTCAGTGATCTCATGAAATTCTCTGAAATGTGGCAGCAAGTTATAATAGAATTGGATAAAAATGTGGGTAAACATAACTTTACATTTTTTTCAAATTACTGATTATGCCTTTTGTTGCAGGGCATCCTTCATCATTGAGTAAATGGAGTGTGTATGGGTTTTTGTCTCCCTCTCTTTAGAGATTAAAAGCTGCACTGACGCATTCTCAGGTAACAAATGGAGATACTGCTAAGGGACAAACAAGTGGACTAGTTCGAACTCAGTCAGAGGAAGCCCGACCACAATCACTACAACAGCCCGCCACATCTACTACTGAAACACCGGTAGGAAACTTAGCTTCTGACGGAGTATTAACATCAAAAAAATTATTAACAATTCTTTTATGCTATGTGTCTTAAACCAGGGGTCGCCAACCTTTGGACCTCAGGGACCACCAAACTCATAATTTTAAATCCCAGGGACCACTATCCACTTCTGTGGGCGTAGCCTAATTTGTGGGTGTGGCTTGGTGATTATGTGACTGGTTAGGCATGGCTTGTATGTAAATATAAATATTTATATAAATATTGAATTTTTAATAAAAAAGAGCAACTTTTACCCAAAATCAGGCAAAGCAAGCAGGCATATTGAGTTGCTCACAGAATCATTCAGTGATCTATCTATCTGCCATCGGCTAGCTCAGTCTGTCACATAAAATTTGCTTGCCGTGAGTTTGCAATGAATAATAAAACCTTCAGTCCTAAGAGAGGTTCGGCTGTGCTTAAAAGCAGAGCCAAAGATCTAAAGACTAGCTAGAAAGCAAGAAATCCAACCATTTCCTGCTTTCTAGCTAATTTAAATCTCTGGGCACAGCAGAACAGCTGATGGTAAAGGGGAAAAAAAAGGAAAAATAGCAATTTAGCAGGCAAGTTTGCTGGGTAAGGAGTGAGTGGGTGGGAAGGGTTCCCGTGGGCCATGTGGGCGGTGCAGCCTTGTGTTTCTTCACAGCCTGGATTAATTGCTTTGGAGGGGTGCTCTGGGTGTGACATTTCTCTGCGGCCCACCAAAATTTTCTTGCGGACCACCAGTGGGCCGTGGCCCACCGGTTGTTGACCACTGTCTGAAACATATGGAGAGGAGATGAATTCATCTTGGTATATAATTAGATAAAAAAAGAGGACAGATGCTCGTATATGTCAACTAAATTACAAGCAAGTAAGATAGCTGAATATGTTTATTGTACTTGTGGAGAAATGAAGATGGACTTAGTGATTTAATTTAAATTTACCTGCTTTTCATTGCATTTATCACAGTTGTAAGTGCAACATTGTTGCATTTATTATTGTTAAACATTTATTATTGCACCTCTGTTCGTCTTTTGACTGTATTGTTTAAATTATTAAAAGGGACTAACTGTTTTAAATTTATTATTGTCTTGGGGCGAAGAGGATAATGAATGAAAATGAATTCCACTGTGACTTTGTGTAACTATATTAGGTTGGAAAATAGTTTTATATATTAGACAATAATTGTCTTCTCGCTTTGGGTAGACAACTTTTAAATTTTCTGTGGGTTCATTACTTTCACACATTGTCCAATATCTTAAGTGTTTTAGGCATGCTCATTCTTAAGTGTCAGTTAAGTGACATGACATTCAAATAACAGAATGACTAATGACAATCCTAGAATCCTTTACAAAATAAATGTTAAAATTTATAGTGGCTATATCAAAAAGTATGCAGCACTTGCCCTAACAAACTGTGATAATCTGGTACCTCTAGGCCTCTCCTGCTCAGCCTGCACCACAAACGCCAAATACAGGAGGCCGGCGAAGAAGAGCAGCAAATGAAGATCCCGATGAAAAAAGACGGAAATTCTTAGAGCGGAACAGAGCAGCTGCTTCGAGGTGCAGACAAAAAAGAAAAGTTTGGGTCCAGTCTTTGGAGAAAAAAGCAGAAGACCTCAGCTCACTAAATGGTCAATTACAGGTATTTTGATTTTTTGACTTGCAAGTTTTACGTTTTCTTATTGAGAAGTTTAGTCAAATCAAAAATTGTATTTTTTTTTAAAACAATAAACATAAAATTTTAGAAATGGGCTACTCTGTTGCTTATCTATCTTAGTGATCTGAACTAGCAGTGATCTCAGTGGATCTATTCTGGTGTATTAAGCATAGTAAAATCCAGCCTAATCGTTACATATTTTATTTCAGTACAACTTGAAATAGTAGCAATGAATACTAAACTAAAACCCCTGACTAATAAAAATTATATGTCCTGAATCTAATAAAAGATTCAGCACTTGTTCAGTAACAACCTCAATTAGTGACTATTTCCAAATATGGTAATAAAAAAAATTTTTTTAGACTAATGTGCACACTCACAACCAAATTTATATGCCTGACAAAAACACGTGCTGGAATGATAATGCTGGTGTAGGTGTACAAGAAGTTTATTTGAATAAGACAGAAGCAATCAGTAATCTTCACAGCCTCTCTCTCTCTGTCACATGTTCGCTTAGTGACCATTTTGGTTAATGACCTGATTGTTGGAACGGAACTGAGTTGATAAGAAAGGAGTAGATGTAAAGTAGCTGAGCATGATTTTACAGAGACAGAAGAAAATATGAGCAATAGGTGTCTTGCTTAGTTTGGATAACCATTGCCAACTTCCTTTTTTCTGTAACAAAGGCAGGTAGAAGAGGACAAGATGGAAAATGGCAGTTACAGTCTTTTTCTACACATTTTGATTGCTAGGCTCATAAAAGGTGATCCCATCTGCTTTGTTCAGAAGATTATTATTCTAGTTCTCATTAATTGATAAATTAGGCTATAATAAGTTGACTTATACTTCTAGTATAGATTTTTATTTTTTATTTTTTTATGGTGTTTTACACTGTGAGACTTTAAACTGTAATAGTTTTCACAAGGTACCAGAAGAAAATATTTCTTGAAATATCCATTCAATATAATTTTTTGGAGTTGGTCTGTTTGGGCATTATGAAAATGATATTATCAGTTGGACTACTGGAAAAAGTTTGTCAGACCTTTTTAAACCAATCATCCATCTTGAGAAATTTCTGAATATTAATGCACAATAATAACAGTAGTATAACAGCAACAATAACCATGGTTAAGAACACTCTTGTTCAAGCAACTTGTACAGATAGTCCTCAACTTCCAACCACAATTGAGCCCAAAATTTCCATTGCTAAGCAAGTGAGCTTTGTCCCATTTTATGACCTTTCTTGCCACACTTAAGTGAATCATTGCTGTTAAGTTTAGTAACACAGTTGTTAAATAAATCTGGTCGCAAAAAGGGATCACAATCCTGGGACACTGCAACCATCATAAATACATGCCAATTACCAAATGTCCAAATTTTGATCATAATTTTGATCAGAATCCATAGGGATTCTGCAGCGGTCATAAATATGAAAAACAGTCATAAGTCAGGGTTTTTTCATGCTGTTGTAACTTCAAATGGTCGCTAAGAAAAGTTGAGGACTATCTGTATTTTAAAAAAAAACATAATAGCATGCTGAACTTATAGAGGGATGCTAGCAAGATAGCTCTTTTGAATTCTGCTGTATAGTGCAGTATTGGTGCGGTGTCGGGGGTTTTCGGTCCAATGTGTGGAGTGTGAAGGATGTGCGTTTGTGTTTATTTTCATGGTCATGATGTGCACTGAAGATGGTGTTTGATTTCGTTGTACGAGATGCAATGACAATAAAGTAAACTAAACTAAACTAGTTTGCCCAACAAATATAATTAGTGGAGAGTATCATCTAGCAATACAATAGACCTAGAATAACTTCAGATACCAGGATCTTACTAAATTTTCAAATTTTAGGAAAGCTCAAAACTCTTAAAGTATTACAAAATTTTGTATACATATAATCTTGTTGAGCCTCAGTAACATTGGTCAAAATTCATGAGTTTATTGTTTCATGGTTCTTTTAGCAATTAAATAAATACACCTGTGAGATGGTAATATATAGATTTATGGTAAAAACAGTCTTTTTCACTTTTACCCAGAAAGCTATCTAAGACAATTTGGAGGTGAATAATATATCTCAATAGGCCACACCTATCTAGAATAGAATAGAATAGAATAGAATTGAATTGAATTGAATTGAATTGAATTGAATTCTTTATTGGCCAAGTGTGATTGGACCCAGAAGGAATTTGTCTTGGTGCAAATACTCTCAGTATACATAAAAGAAAAGATACATTAGTCAAGAGTAAAGAATCATAAGGTACAACACTTAATGATAGTCATAGGATACAATAAGCAATCAAATCATACTAGGAAACAGTCAATATAGATCGTAAGGATACAAGTGACAAAGTTACACTCATACAGTCACACAAGTGGGAGGGGATGGGTGATAAGTAATGATGTGACCTAATAGAGGTTTCTGCTCATGTTAACAATTTTTCCTACTTAGAACTGTAGTTAGGTGAAACTATTTTTTCACATTCTCAGGAATTACCTTCATATTAATAGATGTATAAAAGAAATACATAATTTGCATTCTGCTATCAGCAAAACTGGTATAGTCAAAAAATTAAATGTCAACGAAATAATTAAACCATGCTTTATACAGAAACGTTAATCCTGGATTTCTGTAATTCTTTACTTGACAAGTTTGCAGAGCTGATCAGGATGAGCAATGATGATCTGCAATTACTTACATTCAGTATCAAATATAATAAATTCAGTCTTCCACAGTATGCTGACTCTGAAATAATGCAAAGGTTCAGTACTTTTTTTTTACTTTGCCAATTCTACAGAATAAACAGATTCAGAAATATAATTAAAAGCCTGTAATTGGAAAATACAAATACTATGTACATAGATTTTTTATTGTTTTGAAAGCTAAAAGATGTCAACTGTAATATTAATGTCAACTTTGAAATGGATTGGGCCTGTTGCAGAGTTTTTCTGCATTTCTCATCTTGACACATTTTGGTGGGAGGAGTGAGCCTGGAATGTCAGACCAGACATTAACATTAGCCAGAGCTGGTTTGTTTTTCACCATGCCGAAATGATGTACTCAATAAAGCAGTTCTTTGAGAAAGCTAAAAGTCTCAGAGTGCTGAATTGGTTGGGTTCATTACTCGGAACCTTGACAATTACCGTATTTTTTGCTCAATAAGACACATTGGACCATAAGACACACCTAGGTTTAGAGGAAGAAAACAAGCAAAAAAATTTGGAGCAGCAGTGTAGTGAGGGCAGGAGGGGAGCCTGAGAGGACCACGGATAGATACCTCCTCATGTGCCAGCTCTGCCTATTGACTCCCGCACTGCGGAAAAGAAACAGAAGAGGCGGGCAATGACAAAGACAGAAGAAGTGGGGTTCAGCACTGTAAGAGGACTCCGCCACCACGGCCTGGCTACTATTCACCAAAGGACCGCAAAGGACTTTGGGGGAGGGGGGAGGGGTTTCTTACGGAGCGAAAAATACGGTAATTTGATTAATTATTTTGGGTTCTATTTAAAATAAGAAATACTGGTCCAAACATAAAACAATGGGACTGGGACATCAGAAAATTACATACTTTTGGAAATGAAATGTTTAAAATATCAAATAGATACTTTGATTAAAGGGTATTAAGATTCTGGCTTACTTGGATTGCAAACACACAGTATATAATTATTTCTGTCTTTGAGGCTGAGACCTCCAGCACTGCATTCATAAGCATACAAATAAAGTCATACCTTGGTACTCGACTGCTTTTAAATTCGTTGAATTTGATACTCAACATATTTTGAGAAGAAAATTTTATCCTGGTACTTTTCATATGTTTGGTACTTAATATGTAAGCTAAAACTTGTCATTGTCAGTTGCCTCATGACTCTCTACCCTTTCCAGCCAAAACAAAGGGTAATGCTTTAGTCAAACGGTAACTCTCGCCCTTTGCACATCCCCTTGCAGTTTTATCTTAGTTTCTATTGTTATTTTGTGCATTTTTGCACTTATTTCTCATCAGCACAGGTAAAGTGAAGTTTTTATTTTATTTAATCTAAGTATTTGTTCATTTTTAGGTTTATTTCTCACATAATGAAATACAACCCTATCATTTTACATATTGTCTTAAAATGTGCATTGCCTTTGGTTTGGAAATGCATTAAATTTATTTACATTATTCCTTATGAGAAAAATTGGAACTTGTTGTTTTAGTTCTTGTCACGCCTCCCGGAACCAATTAACAATGAGTACTTAGTACTACTATATTGATGAACACCTCTCTTGCCCTTTGAAAATATCAACCATATAGTCTATCCAAACACATATTTAGAAGCAAAAGTAAGAAGATATTGGTTAACTGCACTCTCCAGTTCTGTTTAAAGTTGTTATTAATATCTGCCACACGCACACAGTTGCTACATGAAAACAACAATTTACTCAAGGCTGAGTAGATAAACAGCTTACAAATCAGTGCATAATCTCTCAAGAAAGACAATTGTCCTGAATAGTTTTGCTTCCAGCAAGCAGAAGAAAAGTCAAAATGTAGGCCAAAGTTCAGAAAACCAGGTTTGTCATCCAGTCCAAAGGTCAAAGTTTCAGGTTTGTTTTACACAATTCACAGAACTGACAAACCAGAGCAGTAGATCAGATGGATACTTCCAACAGAGAAACTTGTTTCAGTGTCGCTTTTTAATTGAGGCTGAAACTAACTATCTTTAATTAGGATTGTTCTTGCTTGGCAAGGCATCTCATTGAGTATTTTTCCTCTGCTTTCCACTCTACTCACCAGTCCAAGGGCCTGGGGAATCTATCTCATCAATTGACTGCTTCAGACGTTCTGATAGGGCCTGTCTGTGATCCGCCTCAGGTGATTCCTGGCTTAATGTCTCCTGAGGCTGACATTCCAATGATTCAGCTGTAGCAGTTTCTTCAGAGACAAGAATCCTGGATCATTACAGCCACTATGAAAAATAGTAACTAAATTAATGGGAAGAGTATTTTTTAACAAATC